AGTGAGGAGTTGGAGGACATGTTGGAGAGTGGGAACCCGGCCATCTTTGCTTCTGGGGTGAGTGTGGACCCCAACCCTCCCACTGGGACCCCGCCCACCAGGACCCCTGGTGTGTGTGCAAAGTGCTGGGTCTGGGCAGTATTTTGACACAGCCACCTGGTGAGACAGGTTTTAAAGAAGGGTGAGTCCCAGAGAGGGGAAGGGACCAGGCTGAGGTCACCTAAGTGTTAGTGGCAAAGGTGGAATTAAGACCCGTCTCCTGGCTCCTCCCACTTCCTTGCTACCCCTTCCCCCATTCTCAGGGCCTTTTACTCGTCCCAGAGGACTCGGTGCCCTTAGCCATCTCTACATTCAGGTGACGCTTGAGCAGGGGGGCCTTGTGAAGGAGGTGGCACACAGGGTGGGAGGCAGCTAGGGGATGTGGGTCCCAGGAAGAGAGAGGGGAGGGCAGTTACAATCAGTGGGAGGAACCTGGTTCAAGCCTGGGTCCTTGGGGCAGTCCACTCCGGGTCTGTACAAGGCTGGTGGTGAGCACTCACACTTAGCAGGGACTCCGTGCAAGCACAGGGGGAGTGTTGTTAACCCCATAGTGCAGACAGCAAATCGGGTCTCAGAGAAATTAGGTAATGGCAAGTAAGGGCCAAGCAGGAAGTTGGGGGAAGCCTCAGTCCTGCTTCCAGAACACTTTGCTCAAGCCCTGCCCATCCCAGGTGCCTTCACCCTTGGCATCCTGCTATCCTGGTCCCCCTTAAGCAGGCCCCTGGGTCCCAGCCCCCTGCTCCTACCTCCTAGATCATCATGGACTCCAGCATCTCGAAGCAGGCCCTGAGCGAGATTGAGACCCGGCACAGTGAGATCATCAAGCTGGAGAACAGCATCCGTGAGCTGCACGACATGTTCAGGGACATGGCCATGCTCGTGGAGAGCCAGGTGAGGCCTGGGTCCACTGCCCTCCGCCCCAGCCCCCAGCAGCACCCAGGGCTGCAATGACCCCATCCTTTCTGCCTGACATGCTGCCCTGCCCGGGAGGGACCAAGTCTTCAGGTAACTAAGCCCCCGCTGTTGAAACTGCCTCCAGAGCCCTGCCACCTGAAGGACCCTCTCTGCATGGCTCGGCCACCAGGCCCCAGGCGCTGCATGGCTCTGCATGGCCCTGGCCACCTACACCCAGCCTTGTCCTGTCTTCTTCACTAGCTGTTTGTCATGTGGGCCCTGTCAGGCAGAGCAGTGACCAGGACAGCTGAGGGCCCACTTCCTGGAGCTATCGTCTGTTGGGCGAAAGGGTAGCATAAGTAAATAAATGGAATATTCTCCAGTTGTGCCAGGTGCTCAGGAATGTTAGGAGGCTATGTGATAGAGCAGTGGTTCTCAAACTCGAAAGTGCCTGAGAATCACTTGGAGGGCTTGTGAGCTTCCTGGCCCCAGTTCCCAGAGGTCAGTAGTTCAGGGTGGGGGCCCTTGCATTGACATTTCTAACAAGCTCAAGGGGGATGCCCATGCTACTAGTCCAAGGGCCACATTGGGAGTGACACTATGATAGAGTCCCTGCGGCGGCCGTTTTGGACGGGGTGGTCAGGGAAGTCCTCTCTGAGGAGGTGGCCTTTGGGCTCTGAAGACTTCTCGGGGGAAGAGTGAAGAGCCGGCCTGGGCAGAGGGACCAGCAACCCCACGGTCCTGAAACTGGCAAGAGCCTGACATATTTGAGGAGCAGAAAGGGGGTCCATGCAGCTGGAACACAGGCGTAGTTGGAGATGAGGTAGGCAGGGCCTTGTGGGCGGTGCTGGGTGTCTGGCTTCTCTTCTAGACCACAGGGTCTTAAGTGTGGAAGTGGTGTCACCCAAGTTAGGAAGCAGGGAGGCCCCAAGGAGGCTCCTGTCGCCACCGGGTGAGAGCGCTTGGTGATGTGGACACCAGTAGGGCGGGGGACTTGGGACTTGGAGAGAGAGTGGGCACACCACTGCTGAGAGTCCTGTGGGGCAGCATCAAGGTTGGAGTGGCCTTTGGGGGCAGCATGGGACCAGACTGCTGGGCCCAACAGTGTGGCGGGGCTCACTGTGGTCACCTTGTGAGCTATAGCCAGACACCAGCTCACCTGCCCCTGCCTTCCTCTGCCTGATGCTGTCCTTTGTCAGGCTCCAGGCACTGAGGTCAGGGCTCCAGCTGAGTTCTCTGCATGGTCCCCACGCCCTTGGCTGAGACTGCATGGCCAGTTCCCTCCCCATGATGGCTGCTCTGCGGGGAGAGGCGGGAGCTCCCCAGGGTGCCTGGCCAGAGGGGCACAGGGAGACACTGGACCCTATCCTCTTCACCACCCCACTTTTCTCTCCTAACCTCAGGGTGCTTTCCCGATGTCCTGCCCTGAGCCCCCTCCCGACCCTGAGGGGGGCCCTCTGGAGCTCCAGTACCCCCCGCCCTGCAGGGGGAGATGATTGACAGGATCGAGTACAACGTGGAGCATTCGGTGGACTACGTAGAGAGGGCTGTGTCTGACACCAAGAAGGCTGTCAAGTACCAGAGCAAGGCCCGCCGGGTCAGTGGTCCCAACTCTGCCTCAGCCTCCGTCCCGCATGCACCCATTAGAGCCCCCAGACCATCACAAATCCTTCACCCGACTCTCAGGCCTTTGGCACCCCATTGTAACACCTGCCCAGACACGTTCTGGCCATCACCTTCCCCCCAGTTCAATCCCCCAGACTCTCCAGCCTTCACCCCTCATCACAGCCCCCTCCCCAGTGGCCCCAAGCCCCTTCACTCACCTTTTGTGCCACACGCCCCAAAGCTCTGCCCAGAGCGCTCAGCCTTCCTGAGCCCCAGACCCTCCCAGGCACTGTCTGAAGCTGTTCTTCCTGCCTCCCTGGTACAGAAGAAGATCATGATCATCATCTGCTGTGTGGTCCTGGGCATTGTCATTGCTTCCACCTTTGGAGGCATTTTCGGATAGAGAGCACCCCACCTGCCACTCCACTCTGGATGGTCCACCTGGAGGAGGCCCCCTGGCTGCTGCCGCCTTGTGGCTTGGAGCTCCGTCCTTCCTACTCCATCCTGCTCCTTTCTCTGCCACAGGGCCCTCCGTACCCACCCTGCCCTGAGCCGTCATGTGCATGATCTTTGTAACAGTGCGCGTCTGTACAGAAGAGGCAGAGGGGAGCCAGGCTGGAAACAGCCAGCGGGGTGGCGATGGGTCAGCAAGGGACAGACTCAGGCCCTGGCCCAGGCTGTCTCACCCTTACCAGGCAGGGCTGCCCAGGGTAGCCATGGGCCCCTTCCCCTGCCACAATCCCAATCATCCCACTCTGGCCTGGGGTCCCCCCTCTCCTGGGATCAAGGCCCTCTCTGGACCCCAACCTTACCTCCTCCTGACCAACCCATCTGCCCCATCCTGTCCTCTCCAGCTGTCCCCCTAAGCCATGCCCCCTGAGGGGTGGGGACCAGCTGGCCACATGGTGCTGCTTTTCAGGTTAGGGGAGGGGTGGCCCTGAGAGACAGCCCAGCTCTAAGCCTCTAACAGCCAATCACTGCCAGGGAGGCTCAGGGTGCCGTGGCCAGGTGGCTTCTGGCAGTGTCAAGACCAGGATACCCGCCCCCCGCCTTCACCTGGGGCTCCTACCCCCTACCTAGGGGCAGAGTCTGACAGGTCTGTGGATGCCTCAGCCTGACATTCCCACAGCACCAGGAGCAACCCCTCTGGGCTATGCCTGACTCCAGGTAACATTCTGGGAGAGGCTGGCTGGTGCCCCAGTCAGGCCTCTGCCCTGGCTGAAGCCCACAGCCTGGGCCAGCCACTCCCCAGCAGGCCTTAGTCAGGTCCTCAAGCCATTGTGTTGCATGTTTGGGACAGTGATCCCTGCTCTCTTGTGCTCTGGAAAGTCAGTGTCACTTCAGGCCTGCAATCACGTCCTGCGCTTGCTGTCCCCCATTGATGTGCCACATGGGTGTCAGGTGTCTCGGATGCAGTATTCAGCAGCCAGCCAGGAGGGGTACCTCCAGTCTCCCCATCTTGGGGCTTTGCAAGTTGGAGATGTGCCCCCACCCCAAGACCCCTCTTCCTCGTTGGCAGGCAGGGAGTGTGCATGCAAGTGCATGCCATAGGGGACGGGCCACGTCTGTGCCCCACCTTCCCTCAGCTTTGCTCCTGCCCAGTGACTGTGACCACTGTCCGTGTTGCCTTCTTTAACAGCGACTTACCCCTTCCTTCACCCCTCCACCAAAGGTCTTGGTACAACCAGCTGCCCATTTTGTGAAGTTTTTATGTAGAATAAACATTTGTATCTGTACCATGCCTCTGCCCAAGGTTTCTTACTGTCACAATGTCATGGCCTTAGAACTTGGGGGTGAATGAATGTATGTGTGGCTAAGGGAAAGTGGGCTCAGCATCCCAACCTCTCCTCCTCGGCTTTCAGTGTCCAGTCCCTCTGGCCCCTCCACCCCAGCCTGAGTCTCAGCTCCCGCTTAACACCTGATGCCTGTTGTGTACCGCCAGCCCACACCCACCCCCTCTTCCCACTTACTGCATCCCCTCTCTTATCAGCCTGCTAGACAGTCCCCCACACAGTCCAGTGCAGGACCTGCCCTTCTGACCACTAATGATCAGACAGGACACAAGCTCCTGAGGCAACCAGGCGCTGGGCTGGTGAGGCCAGCAGCTAATGATGGCTCAGGGCCAAAGGTCAGCCTGGGCCACTGGGCTGGATTAATACCTTCAGACCAAAGGGAAACCTAGAAGCCTCGGGCCAATGGGTATCACAGATACATTGCATCCTGCCCATCCTCCCCAACTTTGCCTAGTATCGTAATAGATATTCTTAGTTATTATAAAATATGTATTAAACATATAATTATATATATAACATATATAAGGCAGCCCTAAATTAAAGGAATCTACCTGTGCCCCCTGTAGGTTCAAAGAGTGCTTTTGTACATTATATTCTTTAAACCTCACTTGTACCTGGAGAATCAAGTAGTATGTCTCTCTAGGACCACAGAGCTGGAAAACGCCAGAGTGCCACAGAAAGTGGTTTATTGCTTTTAGAACAAAATAAGATGCTCTCAGAACATTTTTTAGTGAAAAAAATAACTTTTAGAACTTTAGAACTTTTCTAAAACACTATGTTGTCAACTGAAGTAGGCAGTTCAATGTAGAAAACTTGGTGGAGGCGAGTGCCTGGGCTGACGGCACAGCTCGCGGGTGTGCGGACCAAGCAGCCGCTCAGAAGCGGGGCTTGCGCTTGCGGCCGGTGTACTGGGTGTCAGGTCTTACCTCCCTGTGGTGAAGAAAGGATGGGGCGGGCAGAACAGAGAGTCTCAGAAGAAAGAACGAACCCCAGGGACCCCTCTGGATGCAGGCGAGCCCTCAGTGGCAGACCCCCGCCCCCACCAGCCTGGCCCACTGGTACTTACTTGCCCTGACGCCTGCGGCGCTCCTTCTTCTCCAGCACCCACTCTCGGCTCTTCCTCACCACTCCCCGCCGCGCAATCCGGTATGGGATCCTGGGCAGGAGACACGGCTATGAGCCGAGGGATGGAGCAGCCTGGCTGTCTCCCATGTGAACCCAGGCAGGGAAAGCAGTGAGCTTCCCTCCAAGTTAGGTGGCCTCTGACGCCCCTTCTACAACAGAAGTCCCCACTCCTGGACAGCCCTCTTCCTGGGAACATCTGCTGGGGCCACAGCAGCTGCTATCAGGAAGGCAGGAGATGGGAGGCCCCACTCACTCACAGGCATCTCTGTGGTACATGACCACTTACTGGGTATGGGTACAGTCTGCCTGTGGAGCAGGCAGGAGGCCAAGCTACTTTTGGGGCAACGCAGGCCAGGATTGGCTCATGAGAGCCTGGCACTATCCAAGGAAAGCCAGAGCCCCATGCCCACTGCTGCTACTGCAGGCCCTAGCCTGGTACAAACCAAGCAGGGGCTCCCAACCACCATAAATGTCTGAGGTAGGAAAACAAGGCTGCCCAGCTCACGGCAGCCCCAACGATGATCCTCAAAGCCTGATCTGGGCCTCCAATCCTGGCTGAGGAGAAAAGGGAGCCCCCACAGCCCCACAGGAGGGAGGCCCTGAGAACAGGGGGTGCCTGGGCCCCAAACCACATCCGCAGCTGGGATCAAACCATTTCCAGCATAACTCACACCTTGCAAGGCCACTTGCCATTGGAGTAATGACCACTTCCTGAGCACCTGCATGCACGGCCCACAGATGCTCTACACTGGATATAGGCCAGCCTGGCCCTTCACTAGCCTGAGATGGGGCTGTGGCAGAGACCACCCACACTAAGCACAGCGAGGGCAGGGAGGCCCAGGAGCTGCTAAGGGAGTGACGGGGAAGCAGCACATGGTCTGGGAAAAGCAAGTGGGCCACAGAGACAAGCTGGCTGGTATTTCTACAGGCAGAAGATGGGGGCAGCATTCTAGACAACAGGCAATATGCAAAAATGAGGGAGTGTCAAAGGACTGAAGAGGAAGGTGAGGGAAGAGAAGACAGTCCCCTGTGCCTGGAGCCAGGGGTCCAAGAAAGGGAAGGGCAGGCTGGGCCAGTTCACGGAGGGGAGAACGCCAGCAAGGAATGTGTTCTCCCTTCAATAAGCAGTGGGGAACCAGGGAACAACACACAGACCCAGACTGTAGGGTACAGAAAGGCAGCGGGTCATGGAAGAACCTTAAGAGGGCCTACAGCTAAGGGGCGGGAGGTCTGACGGGACAGGTGCAAAGCAGAAAGAAGGCAGCTGCGACTGGGGGGCGCAGATGCAGGACTAAACCCCAGGAGTCTCTGAGGAAGCACAAGCTGGGGCAGTGAACAGGGGCAAGATGTGAGCCGCAGAAGGACAAGGGGAAAGAGCATCGGCGGAGAGAGAGGCAGCAGGTGAAGATGGTGAGCGCCCCACACCACAGCCGCCAAGAGGGAAGTGGTGGTTGAGCAGCAGCAAATGCGAGAGGCGGGCTGAGGCGTTCAGGAGAGCAGTTTAGGAAGGGCAGGGTGGAGGCCGGGTGGGGAGGATCCAGGAACACACAGGGGAAACAAAGTGGATGGGAAAAAATCAGAGATAAATTAGGTAAAGATTTTAAACACTTTTTCTTCACCTATTTATATATCGTAAGTGACCTGAATGTGATTAGACAGAAGTGACAGTAACAGGAGAAGCCCCTGAATATCCTTCCAATAGACAACAGCCTCCTCCCCTGCCCTCCCCACACCTGAGGACTTGAAGAGCGGGAGCCTGCAGCCCTGGGGAGACGAGGTCTGTGCCCGGCACCGTGCTGAGTCCTGCACGAACACACTCTCTACTCCTCAACACACTGCCCAAGTGGGTGGCAGGATCCCCCTTTGTAGACAGATGCGAAATGGATGCTCAGGTCACACAACTTACCCCAGTTTACAGTTAGGACGTGTCGTCTGTAGACACCGGTCTGAGGACAAGAGGGATCCTAAGATGGATGGAGGGAGTTAAACAACTCTTTCCTCTGTGAAGGAGAGGAGAGCACTCGCTGGGAGCAAGTGGTGGGCACCTTAGAGCAGACAACACCTAGAAGAGCCTCCAAATCCCCATCAGGAATGGCCTGAGGAAACTAAGAGGATGACCACGGAGGGCCAAGGGGTCAGATGGCACAAATATGTAGTGGACACGAGGAACACACTCATGATTTCCACCACCCGTGGGCCTTCCAAACTCATTCTTTCTCTGCCCATTTTTCAAGACTTTTCAGTCCTATCAGCCAGAACTAAGGAATAACCTCCCTCTTCACTACCTTGTAATCAGTTATTCATTCAACAAATATAAATATGTTTTAGCAACAAGATACTCTTCTGATGTCAGGGATATAATACCAGTCCCTACCAAATTTTCATTCTAGTTGGGGATATAAATAACAACCAACTAAGCAAATATATGATTTAGAGCAGTTAAAGGTATTAAGGAAAATTTTAAAAGGTAAGGAGAACTCAACTGAAGATACTGAACAGAGAAATGGCAACATATGACTTATATTTTTTAAAAATAAAAAGGAAAAGATCAGTCTTGCTGCTGCACAGGAAATAAATGGAAAGAGGCAAAGACTGAAGCAGGGAGACTAGTGAGGCAGCTTTCAATAATCCAGGCAGGGGTGGCGGGGACTCAGCCAGGCGGAAGAGGGGAAACGGCTGGAACCAGGACGTACATTGAGGCTGGGGGTGGCAGGACTGGCCGATGGATTGACCGGATGGGAGATGTGAGGAGGACAGGAATGACTGAGGATGGTAAGAATGGAGCAGGGAAGTTTGGGGGTGAAAACCAAGAGCTCTGTCTTGTTGGAGACACCAGTGGGAAGTTCAGGTACGGACACTTAGGAGGCAGTTCGGAAATGAGAGGCGGGGTTAAGAGCAAGGATGTAAAGCTGGAGTTACGAACCTCGAGTTGGTGTTTAAGGCAGCGCAGAAACAGCAAGTGTCCAGGCTGGGCCCCAGAGTGCCCCAGAGGAGGGCGGGCCAGCAGAGTAAGACCGAGAAGGAACAGCCAGCAAGGCTGAGAGAAAACCAGGAGGGGGGCAGGAGGCCAAGTGAGGAAAGTGTTAGGGAGTAATCGGCTGTGTCAGCTCCTACTGAGCAGGCAAGTTACAGTGAAGACAGAGAAGGAAAAAAGATGAGAAGCGACAACAGATTTGGCAAGATAGGTTGATGGTGGCCTCCACAAGAGCAAACTGATGAGCCAAAGAGGTCTGAGAGAATGGTAGGGGAGGCAGCAAGGACAGGCAAGTGCGAGAAGTTCTGTTATAAACAGAAGCCAACAAACAGGGTGGTAGCTAGGAGCTGTTATGAGGTTAAGGGAGGACCTGTCCAAAAACAGCAGAAACCTTGCAGTACATCTGGATGCTGGATGGGAACGACCCAGGAGAGTAAAGACAAGGATGTGGGAGAGGGAAGGGAGAACCACGGGAGCCAAGAGGGGAGGGGGTGCAGGATGTTGGTGGAAGTGGCAGCCTCGGACGGAGGACAGCCCGCCAGGAATGGCAAGGCGGACGACAGAGAGGAAGGGGATAAGGCTGTGTGGCTGCCCAGACATCCACAAGGGCCCCACCACTCAGCCCAAGGCAGGTGCAGGTACAGTCGCAAAAGGTTCCCTAGTCCTGTTACCACCCTTGTGTCACTGCCAACTCTGAACCCGAGAGGTTTCGTGAAAGCAGAGAGCAGAGGAGTCGTCTTGTCGCCACTTGCTTTGCCATGTCTGACAAACCTGGTGGCAGCAACTCCCTGCACCTCAGGCGTTACCTCCCACTCGTGAACCTGGACTCCCCGGCCTCCTCTTCCTCCACATTTCCGTTCAGGCCCTGAAGGAACCAAAGTACTCTTAGATCACCCTGGAGATCTCTCAAGCCCTCTGCCCCACCTCATAAGGCCTGAGCCCTTCCAACAGGTACTCGGCCCAGCCCCACAAGGGAACCAAAAAGACACAGGCCTGCAAACTCAAGGTCCCTCACCTTTGGCACAAAGGTCGAAGGTCCCGAAAACAAACAGAGGTAGAACCTGAAACAAGAAAGTGCAGAGGGCTGGGCTAATAAAGTCTTGCAGGGCGAGACAAGTCCTCCCCCTCCCTCCCATCTACAGGTCCAGAAAGGGAGAGCCTCCTGCCCGTCGGGGCCCTGTGACCCACCAGCACCACTCTGGCCTAGAGTCATCAGTGGCCTACGAGGCCATACCACCATCCTCTCTCCTGCAGCACGGCGGCATGGTGGCCCCCAGTACTCACTTCTTTGCTTTGGTACTGTTGGGGTAGTCCACCACCACACCTCCAGTAAAGCCAGCCCTGGTGGCCTGGGTGGTGATCAGCTCCAACTGATGAGAGAACGGTGGTGAGTTAGGCAGGCAGGCTGGAGAAGCAGCAGCTTCCCCTCCATTCCCCTTAAGCCAGTCTGGTCCCAGGACAGACCTTGCTTGGGAGAACTGAAGGTTTTCTGTATCTGACTGTTCCCAATTCTAAGTCCCCAAAAGCCACATAGATGAAACTGCAGGTTAGAACCAGCCATGGCATACACCTCCCTTGGGGGGATTACAGAACAGGCAAGCCCTTAATTCTCACTTTCTAGCCCAGGCACCCATCTTCCCCACTCAAATCTCAGGAAATGAATGGCCACCTATGCGGAGGCAGACTCATTCATGTTATTGGTCAGGGACAGCTCACCACTGTCTTTCAGAGTCTGTACTTCCTACCTCACCCCCTCACTCCTCATTCCTACTACATTACACTCCAGAGAACAGACAACTGTTAATGTTCTCTCACCCACTGCCCTGTCTACTCATTTGGTTATGGAAATCACCTGTTATACCATCTTATCCGTCAAGAGAGGACAAACGTCCTACCCCACTCCTACAGGTACCACTCTTCTTCCTTAGGACATTAGGTCATAAAACGTGCCCTCGGGGGCCACAGGGACCACTCTCGGGTGCTCACTCCCTCCTTTTCCCACCTATCAGCATAAGGATCCTTGTTCTGTCACTCTCCAGCAGCAGGAGGAGAGGTGAGTGAGGAGCAGGACAGTTTACCTGCTGCGGGTCCCTCCCCTTCCCTGCGCCTCCAGCAGCCAAGGGGCTCACCTGTTCTGAGTTCTCAGGGTACAGCTGCAGGACTGCTCGGGATCCACGAACCTGCCGAGAGAGACACTGCTGTGTTACAAACATCCCACGGGTCAGGACACAGACACCTCTTATTTACTAATAGTTACTGAGTTCCTATTATGTGCACAACACTGTCCTTAGGGCCAGGGACACAGCCATGAACAAGAGAGACAGCCCCTGAGCTTTTGGAGTTCCCATTTTAGCGAGGGAGGCAGCTAATTTACAGTAGTGATGAAGTGCCAAAGAGAAAACAAACTAGGACAAAGGGATGATGAGTAACGCAGACTGCTGAGTTTACTTTCGGTTCAAGGAAGGCCTCTCGGAGGGACACCGGAGCAGAGACCTGAAAGCAGTTATAAACACAAAAGTAAAGCTAACAAAGGTTCTCTTGATGGTAATTAACCACCCTGCTCCCCATCTGAGCATGGGCAGTACGGGAGGGGGTTGGGGGGGGTTGTGAGCACTCTGGAAGGCATCCTGTGTGGCCTGGACATGATGCCCCTGCCCTCACTGTGTGAAGTCCATGCCCCAAACCAACTTCTGATTAAAATTCAACATAGTGGGGGCCAGCCCAGTGGCGTAGAGGTTAAGTTCGTATGCTCTGCTTCAGTGGCCCAGGGTTCACAGAGCGTGGACCTACCCACCTCTTATCAAGCCACATTCTGTTGGCATCACACATACAAAAAACAGGGGAAGACTGGCACAGCTGTTAGGTCAGGACCAATCTTCCTCACCAAAAAAAATTCGGCATAGTGGACAGAGGAATTGCAATCAGTCTCAGATTTTGACATCAGTGTCTTCTGCATTTCATCAGGGAGTCTCAGCCCACTGAACTTTCTGTTTAGCCTGAGGACCTGGACAAAGTAACCACAATAAGGTCCTGCCATCCCATGTGGTCCCATCTGAATGGCCTTCCCATAGGATGCCTCTACTTCATCACTCTACCTGCAGGGCAAGGGAGGGACAGGCAGTCAGCCCACATGGGGAGGTGATCTCATACTCACCAGCACAGAATAAAGAGAAGAAAAAAAGCAGTACAGGCGCTTGGCAGGGATGTCAGATGTCTTGTTAGCATTACAGAGCCACTGCACAGCAGAAATGCTAAAAAAGGAAAGGAATCTGGTCAGGAAGGGGACCAATACCCACTGCTCCCCCTGCCTCTTCAAGACTCTAACACCATACACATCCTTGATCTCCAGGTGAAACCCTCCTGCTCACCACTCTTTCTTGGCCTGTGTAGGTCCACTGCAGGTCACTATTCTACAGCACTGAACCAAACAGGGTATAGAGAGGGGGAGCATTCACTTCCTTGCAGCCAGTCCTTGTTTCTACATGCATCTTAAGTTTAAAATTACTCAGCATGTCAAGGCTGCCTCTGCCACCTACCTCTTCATTCCCTTCCTCCAATCAAAGAGAACATGCCTTACAGTACCTACACAAAGCCATTCACTCACTCTCCTCCTCACTCACCTCCTTCAAGGATACCTGCCAAGCGTCTCCATAAGCCCCAGATTGAAAACCTCGAGCAGCTACTTACCATGTCCTCCTTTCGGGAATGCCCCTCCTCAGTGCTGCGCACACACATCCACAGAACCCTAAACCCCACAGCTTTGTCTGCCTGCCTCTCCCAGTTTTTACTTCCCTCCACTACTCTCCTGGGTCAGCACGCATTACTGTCTCGATTGCTTCAACCACCGAACTTAGCTCTCTTCTCCTCTTACATGATACTCCTAAAACACAGATCTGATCTTGCCACTCCCCATCAACCACAGAATAAAGCCCCAACTTTGAAGGATGGAGTTAAAAGCCTTCTAGGAACCAACCCCATGCAATCTCACCTTCCATGAAATTGCTCATTCATCCCTATGATCTATCAGACTCCTTTCTCCACCCACTTCTGTGCCTTTGCTCACACTTTCCTTCACTCAGAAACCCTCCCCCTCAACTCTCCAGATCCCTCCCCATCTTCAAGGCCCAGCCTCAGCCCCTCCTCCCTCCTCAGGGGTTTCCTGTGCTCTCTTGCTTCTCCTCACAACGCTGGTGGGTCCCACAACTCCCAAGTCACACCCCACACTCGGCCTCGTGTTCAGCTGTCTCGCCCACATCTTACAGCACCCAACCAACCACGGAGAGTCTTAAAAACAGGGACTGTTTTAGTTCCAAACTCCACAGCACCTTGTGCAATGTCTTACACAGAACAAATGTTAAAAAAAAAAAAAAAAGCTTGCCATACCATCTCTCCTTTAAGACAAACAAAAAAAATGACTATTTACTCCTAAAACACACAGACCATATCACTGGTCTTTGGTTTTCCACAGCTTAGGACATCTCACCTAATCATCACGAAAACGCAATTGCTATCCTTGAAATGTTTCCCACAATCTTGCTTGCAGAGATAAGCTGATCCCTTACCCTGGAGGAAAATCTGCAAACCCAGATTTTCATTACTTACCCAGGTACCTACTGTTGACCCAGGACCAGAGGAGGAGGCGTCCCTCCAGGGAGGGCTAACTATGACTTCCTCCCCAGGCCCTCTCTCCACCCCATGGACCACACACCACACCACACTCAACACAACTCACCAAAGAGAAAGGACAACTTCACGCTCCAGACAGAAATTTCAGTGTTCTAAGCTCCGTTATCAAAGTTCTATGTACAAACTCAAAATTGACACAGAAAGGACTCCTAAGCCACCGAAGTGACTGGAGCAGTGGGGGCACTCTCCACCACAGAGAGTGGAGAGACGGGAACAAGATGGCTGCCGGGGCGACAAAATGGCTCCCAGAGGCTGGGACCTCCACCCCTCCCCCATCCCGGCATGAAGCAGACAAAGCACCTCTCCCAGAGCTGCCTGAACCCTGAACCCTGAAGCCAGCAGTGCAAGAGAATCAGAGGAGATAGTTTCCAAATACAGAAAAATACAGATCTGGGGGCCCTGCTCTAACCTTATAAATCTGAAAATCCTGGGGAATGTATATTCTTAAGTATCCTGTGGGACTCTGCTGTATAGCCAGGTTTGGGAAGCACTGGCCTGAAGGACTAAAGGCAGGACGTGAAGACTCTTACCTGATACAACCATCAAAGGAGCCTGGTTTGAAGGGGAGGCCCTGGCCCATGTCCCCCAGAAGCAGGTCTCCCTCTATCTCTCGGTCCAAAGCCGCATCTACATCGAAGAAGAGTAATTCAGGGAAAGAGACCAGATGCACAGCTGCTGCATACTCATGAGGGCAGTCTACCCCAGTGCTAAATAGGACGTACTCACCCAGCATGGCAGGGCTGATGTCAATGCCCACCCAGTAGTGCCCTTCATACGAGAGATAATCTCCACTCAGCCCAGAACCACAGCTGGAAGACAATCAAAAAGGAACTCAACAGTGTGAGCAGCAAAGACACTCCACTACCTGGACAGTTAGAACTGGGCCCCAGGTTCTCACCCAATATCCAACAGGTAACAGGGCCGATCCTCGGGCAGATAAAGGAGCTCCAGTGCTCGCCTAGCCATCTTGGTCTGGACATCAATCATCCGTGAGCTGGGAAGGCAGAAACACAAGCGAGTGATAAAGGAGTTCTAGGCTAAAACCTCACCCAGAGCACAAACAGCCAGAGAAAGGAAAAAAGGCACAATCACCCAGAGATACTCTCCCGGTCACCCAACTCAGTCACCAAACTCAACCACAACTATTTGAAAATGACCCAGAAGTCCATGTAATACAGCAACAAGTTATTTTGTGACACAAATTCTAACTACACCAGCTGCAAAGCTAATGTGAAGGGATTAACTAATGACTAACCATAGGGTATTTTCAACTCAATCAGGATTTGATGTTGTACTACTTAAGAAAGAGTTTTCTGGAAGAATTTACTCTGCTATATAGGGATCAACAACGCAGAACGAAAATCTATGGCAGTGATGTCCATGAGAAATATAACGCAAGCCACATGAGACTTTTTTTTTTCCTGAGGAAGATTAGCCTTGAGCTAACATCTACGCTAATCCTCCTTTTTTTGCTGAGGAAGACTGGCCCTGAGCGAACATCCGTGCCCATCTTTCTCTACTTTATATGTGGGACGCCTACCATAGCATGGCTTGCCAAGCGGTGCCATGTCCGCACCAGGGATCCAAACCGGTGAACCCTGGGCCACCGAAGCAGATCGTGCACACTTACCCGCTGCGCCACCGGCCGGCCCCTACATATGACTCTCTAGTAGCCACAGTTAGAATGAAATTAAATACGTAAAATTAACTGTAATAGTCGTTTCTCCAACCCAAAATATCTAATAATACATTTTACTTAACCCAATATGCTCAAAATATCATTTCAACACATCAACATATGAAATGATCAACAAAATATTTACATTTTCTTCATACTAATTTAAACCAAACACATTTCAATGGTTGGCTGATGGCTACCGGTTACCATATTGAACAAACAGATCTATAGCATATCTGACTTTCCCAGGATCAAGGGAAAGAATCACAGAATCACACATAATAGTTTTCAGAATGTGAAACACAGGGCTCTGCAGCTGGAAAAAACTTTGCATTTGCTACATAATGACGATTGGGCCAGAGATTTTTGCTGACCTTCTTCCTGGTCTTGGACTCTAAACAGAAAGGAGAGAAGAGGTATCTGCAGAATTTTCTACAGAGTAATGTATCAGAAAGGGTAGGCTTGGGAGTCCCCGCTCTAGCCTTCACCCGCTAAATGACTTCGTAGTTATACAAATAAGTGCCCTCCGAGAAATTCAGATACTACACCAACAGTTGTCATGAGGAGTTAACTAGGTAACTGTAAACAGGCGCACACATTCTAAAGGAATTCTAGAGTAAGCATTCTAAGAATGTCATTTCCTGCCCCCCAACAGCACTGACCCCTTACACATATCCACTGCCTCCTATTTTACCACACGCTTAAAACACGCTGTCACATTAAACTTTGAAAACGACCTAGAGAGAGTAGATATAATCACTCCCATTTAAAGACTGAGATTACCGAGGCCCAGAGGGTTCGGAGGTTTACTTAAAGTTAACTTTGCCAGTGGGAAAAACGGGACCAAGCTGGGTCCCTTCCTTTCCTCAGCCCCCAAATTCTGCGTGTTTTACAAGCAACGTCCGCAATCCGGGCAACTTGCCGGTTCCCGACCCCCGAGGCCGCGCAACATCCAGGCTCCCCTTACTTGCGCACGTATTTCCGGGCTTCATTCTTGTCGTAAAACTGCGGGGAAAAGAGAAAAAGGGAATAGCGGGAGGAATCAGAACGCAGAGGCCCTAAAGGAGAGAGGAGTGCCCGCTGGCCAGAGGCCTCACCAGCTCCGGGGGCCCGCCGTGCTCCGGTCTCCGCCCGCGACACGCCATCCCTGAGCCTCGGCAGCACGACTGGTACCGGCGTTTCCCGGAGCCCGGCTTTTATGTCATCAGCCCCGCGACCGCCTCGTAATACGCATGCTCCATCCCTGTCCCCGCCTCCTTTTTCACTCGATTGGGCTACAGGGCCTACGCGCCGCGAACACCGCGCTTCCCATTGGCCAGTTCATCTTGCACCGCCCGCCCTATCCATCCAAGATGGCAGCCAAGTGCGGTGTGAGGTGCCCGCGGCTGTTAATGTGGAGGTTGTGGCAGGCCGGTGGAGCGCCACAAAACCTGGGATTCGGCTTGCGCCTGGAAGTGAGGTCTTATTCCCCGGGCGACGGCCCCTACTCTCGCACGGCGCTCTATGAGCTGCTCGGCGTCCCCTCCACAGCCACACAGGCGCAAATCAAGGCGGCCTACTACCGGCAGTGCCTCCTCTACCATCCGGACCGCAACTCGGGGAGCGCCGAGGCTGCCGAGCGCTTCACGCGCATCTCCCAGGCCTACGTGGTGCTGGGCAGCGCCACCCTGCGCCGCAAGTATGACCGCGGCCTGCTCAGCGACGAGGACCTGCGCGGACCCGGCGTCCGGCCCTCCAGGACGCCCGCCGCCGACCCCGGCCCGCCCCGCGCCCCGCCGCCCGCCTCGCGGGCCCACGGCCGTGGTCAGGCCGCGCCGGACGCCAGCCGCACCATGTTCGACTTTGACGCCTTCTACCAGGCGCACTACGGAGAGCAGCTGGAGCGCGAGCGGCGCCAGAGGGCCCGGCGAGAGGCCCTCCGCAGGCAGCAGGAGGAGCGGGCCAAGAAGGGCTTCCGCTGGGACGACACCCGGGACACGGCTTTCGTCTTCCTCCTCCTTGCCATCTTCATCCTCGTGGGCTTTCGGTTTTAACCGGAGAGAGGAGGGCAGGGAGCAGCCGGTCAGCCCCACGAAGATGACCTTTCCCGTCTTCTCGAACCCTTTGCCATTTATAGTCTACCTCTGCTGGGGTCCGAAGGAACTGCTCTCCCCGTCCTTCCCCACCCACCCAGCTTAGCCGCGGACCTGCACATCCCTCCCACTCCGGTCCAGAAAGGGAGGCTTTTCGATGCCCAAGAAAAAGGCCCCAAGATGAAGAGTCCCGAAAGCCCAAGAGTGAAGGGTTTTCTAGAGTCCCTTGGGTGCCTGCTTCCAGAGGTTGACAACTTCTGGAACACTTGCTCTGGCTTTGTTGTAAAGTCCCGAGCAAGCATTGGCTGCTCCTGCCCCACGCTTGTACCGTGGGGCTCCTCTGTAACCTTGAAACGTGCAATGTGACCAATTGTTGGCTACCAAAAGAAAATTTCTGGGGTTGTACGAACCTTGTCTTTCTGTGAGTTCCCCAAGCTACAGGTGAGACCTGATGTAGGGTAAGAATGTGATATGTGGGAACCTTGCCATTCTTCTGTGGTCAGCCCCAGACCCCGCTCCCCGTTCTGTGGGTGGCATGTGGGATTGGGAGAGCAAGGTCATCGAGTACGCAATGGACTTTCCTGTGCCCATACTTATCTAATGGATGACCTTGGAGCAGTTACTCTGTGCACATGACTGCAGAGGAGCAAATCATTTGCTCTCTTGAGGTCTGTCACACTTTATTATCCATAGTTCTGATGGGCTCAGTGGTTAAAATATGATGCTGGTAGAGTCAGATTTATCCTTGGGACAGTGTACCTGTCACTTGGTCATCCCTTTACCAGCCAACCCCATCGCTAAGTGTGCAACTCATCCCCTCCCAGAAATAGAACAACTAACTGAGAGTTTGAGTCGCCTGAATGTGGCCCAGCCTCCTGTTTAGCTTGCAGTGCTTATCATACGCCCCATAAGCCAAGTCCTTGCAACACGGCTGCTGCGGCTGTGGGTAATTTGGGGAGTTTGGAGTAGAGAAGACTGCTAGAGGCACAGGAGGCACGTGGTGGAAACTCAGTTTCTTATGGAGAGCTGGCTGAAGCTTTTTTTTTTTTGTCTCGTTTGTGCTAAGCAGTTGGTCGTCGCTTGGCTGGAACTGTAGTAGTCAGGCTCCCTTAACCCTGTTCTTCGGGTGTGGATTGGCTGTGAGATTGTAGGTGCTCAAACGTTTATGTACTGAGTGTAAAGCTGTGGGATAGGAAACCTGTGCAAGAGATCTACCACAAGGGTGTGGACCAAAGTCGAGGTTCTAAACAAAATCAGAGGTGCTTTGGTATATTAATACCAATTCCTGCACTTAGTCTTTTGTGTGAAATCCTTGTATAAATTGGGATAAACCCACAGCGATTTGAACTTGGTCGCTTGGAATCCATTCGATTCTCTGGCCTTAGAGACTGCAGGCAAGCTCTTAGTCATTGTCTTTGCAGTGATCATACAGTTCAGGAGTGATGGTTCAGACCTGCTGGCTCAGCAAGCCTGGGCTTGGGGGAGGGGCAAATGTACTTTTAGAAAGAACATTTAATGTTATTATGTTTCATATTTGGAAAACAAGGCGAAAGGTCTGTTCTTTTTTAAATGCAAACTACAGTAAGTGAAGATTAGTAAAACGTACAGAAACTAGTGATTCTCAACCAAGGAGTTGGAGCATAGCAGTGTCCTTGGGGCAAGATTCTGTGAAAGTTTCTATCAAAAGGGGTTGGAGTTCTTTTGGATTTTGTCTGTAAAAGTACTAGTGGTCTGTAATAGCTGGGGACCTTTCTCATGGGCTGCTTGACATAGACCTCTCAAGTTTGTTTTCTCTCAGTGAAGATTGCAGCCACGAACATTCCCTGGGGCACCAGAACATACATGGAGGTAGAAAAAAAGTTCCAGAAGCTGGGGCGGGGGGGTAGGGGGGGGGGGGTGGGGGCGGCGGCGTCCAGACTGTGTGAAACTTCTGGAACGTTTCAGAACATTCCATGCAACTCGAAGCAGGGTAGTCAATAAAGTTTATTAACCATCCAACTGTAAGTCTCTCTTTAGGCCTAGAATTAGGCCCACTCTACTCTTGCAGTGCCATCCTGCCTGCCTCAGGTTTTTTAGGCCAGAGCTGAATTCTGAGAGACCCCATTTCCTTCCTACCCTTCTTAAACTGAGTCTGGGCTCTTGATGGAAGGGGGAGATGTGTGAGAGACTTCATTTCTTTCTTTCCTTTTTTTTTTTTGGAGGAAGATTAGCCCTGAGCTAATATCCACTGCCAATCCTCTTCTTTTTTCTTCAGTGAAACAGATAAGGCAAATGCACTTTAATAAAGTGCTGTCATTCACAAGTATTGTTACCAATCCCTTTTATACTAATATTTATTTGTTTACTTATTTATTTTTACAATGTTTGAACTTTATTGGGACAGTCTTCCTCTTTTTGCTGAGGAAGATTGTTCCTGAGCTAACATCTTTGCCCATCTTCCTGTATTTTGTATGTGGGACACCACCACAGCATGGCATGATGTGTGTGTAGGTCCGCACCTGGGATCCAAACCAGTGAACCCTGGGCTGCTGAAGCGGAGCACGTGAACTTAATTGCTATGGCACCAGGTGGCCCCATGTGTGGGAGGCTTTTTGAAGGACTCCCTGACTGGTTCCCGTAGTGTCATCCTGCCCGCCCACCACCCACAATTGTCCTGGGTCGTTCCTCTCTCAGCTTCTTACCTGCCCTGGGGAGAGAGGCTGAATCAGGCCGTGGACATTAGCCCCTGCCTTCAAGGGGCTGATCCCCAATTCCTGAGAATGCGGGAAGGCTCAGACATGCTCAACTTTAGTCCCTTTTCTCCTTTTGGTCACAAACTAAAACAAAACTCCCTAGAAGGTTGGACCTACGATGGAGATGGACAGGAGGGGCCCAGCCTGCCCCAGGCTGTGCTCATTGGGCTGGAAATGGGGGCAAGTACAGTATGAGGCGAGTGAGCAGCATACACAGGTCGTAAATGGGGAGACACAGACAAGACCGGACTCAGAGGTGTACGTGTCTTGGGAATTGTGGTATTGTCTTTGGACTTGGTCAGGACTTTCTTTTATTCCTCTTGAGCCAAACTGCTTTTCCCGCTGTTGCCCTTTCTTTGTTACTGAGTGAAATACAGATTCCAGTTCTGAGGGAGTAGGATTTCTTGCTACCATCTGAGACTCTGGCATTTCATTCACTGGGTGCACCCTGTCCTCTGTAATGGTCCCAGCATGAGCCACAATGAATAAGGATAGTCTCTCTTAGGTCAGTGGATTGTCCATTTGGTCATTATTGCCTCCTTATGTATATATATGTTGTCCTCATAGCCACAGCTGAGGCTGAGGCACCATGAGTGGAGCCCAAGTGAGTGGCCACCACACTCCCTTTTGGGGAAATGGTGGGGGATGGGGGGAGCAGGAGGTGCTTATTTCTCAGAGCTTTGGGCTTCCTAGAAGGTCACCAGATCTCATGAAGCAATTCTGAGAGGGACAGCTGGTAAGTGGTGGTGTTACTTCAGTCCACTCTTGAATTCAGTGCTCAAGAAAAGTGGGCTCTGTCCTGGCCTTTGCCTCTTCTCAGGTCCCCAGCCTTGTAATGAGGTCACAGGCTGCCACCTGCCTATGAGCAGGATCCTAGAAGGCCTGCCTTACCTGCCCTCAGCCACTTGGCTCTCAGCCCTGGCTTGTAGCTCTGGTGGCCATAGGGTTTGTGCAAGGCAGCTGAGGTTCCTCTGTTAGTGTGTTAGGATGATAGTGAGACCTGGGTCTGCACCTCGTGAACTTGCGTGTACTGAGAACACTCAGCACACTCATCCCCAAGAAGCCAGTGCAGAGGTCATCTTTACCATCTGTCAGGAGGTCATGGTGTCACTCCAGATCTACCTGTCTCACCACTGTCTCTTAGAGCTGTCGGAACCTGGGGTCCTGGGCTCAGTTGGCCCTGCCATTCTGCATCTGCCCTTTTGGCGTTCACATGCTCAGTCCTGGGAAGGGACTTCTGCTTGACAAAAGAAGGCCTTTCAGGAGGGCCAAGAACAGACTGAGATTCGTGGTTCACAGGCCACACACAGTGTTTGGCTGTGGTTGGCATGGTGCCTTAAAATAACTTTAGCCAACATTCAAAACGTGGGAGACTTTGCATAAAAATCTAGATTTCTGACTTCTCTCAAAAAATGAGAAAATGTGTCACCACTGAGCTCGCTCATACCTGCATTACCAGCTGGAAGAAGCTGCAGCATCTGCCTTTTAGATAGGACATTGCTCCCCAGTTCACTGCACTGCCACTGAGGGGCAAGTGTAAAAGGCCTTGCTCCACACGCTTGCACCATTTTGCTCACAGTAGAGAAGTATCTCTGTACCCCATGTCTATCAAGAGGAAAAACCAAAAAAAGGACCATGCATTTCCGGGAAAATGGGGGAGAGTGTATCTCTGTGGAAAGGGACTGCCTTACGCCTCTGTGACCTTCCTGGCCCCCGCAGGCATTTGAGTCTGCAGATGCCTAGGCTACATCATTGGTTGTTACCGGAGCTCACACTTTATGCAGGGAGGAAGAATGTCAATCTTACTTTCTTTGTGAGACAGGAAGAGTCTTTGAGAAGTCCCCGGCAATGGCAAGGTCCTAGACAAAGCCAGAGGTCCCTTGGTACAGTAACACCAATTCCTGCACTCAATCTTTTGTGTAAAATCCTTGTATAAATTGGGATAAACCCTCAGCTAGTCCAACTTGGTCTCTTGGAAACCATTCGAATCTCTCTAGCTTTGGAGGTCAGGGGCAAGTTCTTAGTCACAGCTTTGCAGTGACCACACGATTCAGTGGTAAAGATTTGAGCCCACACTGGTTCAGGCCTGCTTAGCTCGGTAAGCCTCGATTGGCAAAAAGGTACATTTAATGTTTAATGTTATGTTTCATATTTGGAAAACAAGGAGGGAAGCTTAGGAAAATGCTAAGAAGCTAGTGATTCCCAAACAAGGAGGTGTACAGAACAGACTTTGTTGAGGGGCAGGAACTCTTTGTTTTTATCAAAAAGGGGTGAGAGTTTTGTTATTTGGGCAATTTTTGGGTTTTGGTGTGTAAAAACACCTGTGGTCTGTAATAGGTGGGACCTTTCTCATGGGTCCCTTGATGTAGTCCCTCAAGTTTGTTCTCTCTCACAGAGGATTACAGCCAGGAACTTTCCCTGGGGCCCCAGAACCTTGAAACAGAATTCTAGAAGTTGTCAGGCAAGAGAGAGCCCGGACTGCCTGGAACCCTCCAGAATATTCCATGTACCTTCAAGCAGGTGGGTTAAATTAACTATCCAACACTAAGGCCTTCCCATGCCCATAACTGGGCCCACTCCACTCCGGTGGTATCTGTACCCACCTGCCTCAGGTGATTTTCATGCTGGAGCTGAGCACTGAGGCCTCACTGCCTACGCCCTCTAACACTGAGTCAGAGCTCAGTGAGGAAAGTGAGGGGTGTGGAATGCCCTTTGAAGGACCCCATCTTCTCCCCTCCCAGGCCTTCCCTTGCTTGAGTCCTTCCTTTCTCTTCTTACCTGCCCTGGGGAGGGGAGGCTGAACTAGGCTCCAATTCACGATAGTGGAGGAAGGCTCAGACACGCCCAGCCTGAGCCCCTTTCCTCCTTTTGGTGACAAACGAAAATCTCCCTAGAAGCATGGACCAGGAATGAGAGGTCAAGGCAAGAAGGGCCCAGCCTATCCCAGGCTGCACTGAGAAGACAGGTCTTCCAGGGCCAGTCTTCTACCGTCTCAGGCAGACACCCTGTGGTTCCAGTGTCCCTCAGCCCCCAGCAGCTCACGTGCTAGCAGTGAAGGGAGTAGGGGAGCCAAGGCCAGTGTGGGGTGGAGATTCTCAAGTGGGCGCTATCCGTGCTCTGACTGCACCCTACTGGGTAAATCCGAGTGTCTGGACTCAAACGGGCCAGTCCCTCCAACCATTGCCTAAATCTCTAAAGATCCCATCAAGCAGGCACTCAGGCACTGCTTGCACGTCTTTAGGAATGGGGACCATTGACCTCCAGTGGCAGCCCTGACTTAACGGCCACCCACTGAGCTGAAATCTGGCTCCCTGTGGTTCCCACCCTTTGGTCTCGGCTCTGATGTGAGTCAAGCTCCACAGGACCTCTGCCTCTACCTCTCTAGCCTTTAGAGAGTCAAAGACTAACCTTACACACATCTCAAACAGATCCCTCAACTCTTCCTCAGGGGAATTAGTCCCGATCCTCTTTCTCATCGTTTACTCCAACGGTGCTGTTTTGGAGGGGTCCCTCTTACATTGTAAAACTTCAGTGAAAAATAGAGCCAACCCAGTACTTCCTTCTTTCTAGATGGTTGTATCCCTGTTAACAAGGACCAAGATC